TTGGTGTTAGATCAGAAATGGAGACAGCTGGCAGTCCAGAGGGGAACAGCAAATATTACCCCAGATCAGCTTTACAGAGCTGGTAATTATACAACAGTGGAACAACAGAGAGATGGTATGCCTGAGGAGGGGTTCGTTCTTCTCCCACAATTAATTTTTCAAGCCATAGGGGCTCTCCCTGACGGCGAAGGTGGTGAGAAGACCTTTACTAACATCAAACAAGGGAACAATGAACCCTATGAAAATTTCATTAGCAGACTGAAATTGGCTATTGAAAGACAAATTGATAATCAATTCGCCCAGAAAGAGTTGCTTTTGAAGTTAGCAGTAGAACAAGCTAACACAGATTGCAGAAAGATCTTAAATCCACTTGTAGCAAGTGGAGAGCGAGAAATCGCGGATTTGATTAATGCATGTAGGAAGGTTGGGAGTCAGTCTTTTAACATGGAGACTTTAGCTCTGGCTTTACAAGCAGGAAATGCTCAAAAGGGAAATTGTTTCAATTGTGGGAAGCCTGGACATTTTAAAGCGCAATGTCGGGCTCCTGGAGGGGGTCAAAGTCAGCAGAATAAGAGATCAATGGGACAGGGTGTTCGTCCTAAATCAGTGTGCCCGAAATGTAAGAAAGGATATCATTGGGCAAATCAGTGCAGATTTCATTCTGAAGGAAAAAACTAGGAAGCAGGGATCAGGGCATTCTCCCTACTCTAAAGAGTGAAGTAATGTCCGAAGGGTTGGAGCCACCAGAGAGAGGTAGGGATAAGATATGGTTGCCAGCTACTAAAGGTTCAGCAGGAATTGATCTTCCATTAGCCGAGGATTTGGAATTGGGGTATCCGCATGTGGTTTGTTTAGGGTCAATGGATTTCTATGGACCGTTGCCTCCGGCTTCTGTGGGTCTTCTTCTTCCTAGATCATCGGCTCATAGGCGTCAATTGTTTGTGGTTCCTGGGGTTATTGATTCAGATTATGAAGGTCAGATCAAAATTCAGGTTCATTCACCTGTTCCTCAATCTTTGAAAAAAGGGGATTGTTTTGCACAGCTTCTAGTTTTGCCATCTATGTCTTTGGGAGAGTCAGATAGAATTCGTCAGGGTGGATTTGGATCTACAGATATGTTTAATGAGTCTAGTGTGTTTTCCATCATGCAAAATGTCAAGGCTGATCAGAAACCAAAATTAACTCTTTTGGTTGAAGGTAGAAAGTTCATTGGGATGCTGGACACTGGAGCAGATGTCTCGGTGATTAGCGAAAGTGAGTGGCCTAGGGAGTGGCCGACGGATCCTACACCGTCCGTTCGAGGAGTCGGAGGACTTCAGGACGCACGGGTTAGTAGGAGGATTCTTTCTGTCAAAACAGAGCAGGGAGGTGCTATTGCACATTTCCAACCAATTGTTCTGCGCCTTCACGTTAACTTGTGGGGCAGAGATTTGATGCAACAGTTTGATACAAAGGTTGTCATTCATGATGACTGAACACCCACCTGTGGAGTTATTAAAATTACAACTACTCCAACAGGAGCCAGTGTGGATAGACCAATGGCCTTTGACTAGTGAGAAATTAGTTCATTTACATGAATTGGTTCAACAACAATTAGAAAAGGGACATATAGTGCCTACCACTAGTCCTTATAATTCTCCAGTTTTTGTTATCAAGAAGAAATCTGGGAAATACAGATTTTTACATGATTTGAGAGGCATAAATGCAATATTAAAGCCAATGGGCCCATTACAGTGTGGGATGCCTAATCCTAATTTAATACCTGATGGATGGAATATAAGAGTGTTAGATTTGCAAGATGCTTTCTTCTCCATTCCTTTGCACCCTGAAGATGTAGATTTGTTTGCTTTTACTATTTTGAGTATAAATCAGGGGCAGCCTAAGCGATACACATGGACTGTCCTTCCGCAGGGAATGTTAAGCGATACACATGGACTGTCCTTCCGCAGGGAATGTTAAATAGTCCTACCATGTGTCAAATGTTTGTGGATTGGGCTTTACAACCTTTCCGGAGTAAATTCCCGGATTGGAAGGTTTATCATTACATGGATGATATTTTGATAGCTGCTAATATTTCTGATGCTGCAATGAATTACCATGTTAACCAAATTAAATAAAAAAGGAGGGAAGCTCCTGGGGCTTCCGGCGATTCAAGATCAATTAAATCTAGCTTTATATACTTTAAATTTTTTTAATTTGTCTGGTAACCCCCCTGCGAGTGCGGCCAGCAGGCATTTTTCTTCTCCTTCTACAGATGCGGTGAGACCTCGGGTGTTGGTGCGGTTCCTTCCGGATCCGGCATGGGTTCCTGCTGAGCTGATAACGTGGGGACGTGGTTATGCAGCAGTTGAACATCTTGGTCAAATTCGTTGGGTTTGCGTTCGACCTGATCATTTGCAGGCATCTGTGAAGGAAGTTTCGGAGGAGCAGGATGGCGTACCTGTGGTTCCTGATTCTCTTGATGCCGATAGCTCGGACGCGGCGCTGTGAAGACTGGGAAAAGATGACTGCTTATCTGAGGTTACCAACTTGTATGCAGCAGGTTCTTTTGGGGAACCGGACTAAATTAATCTGCAAACAGCGGTATCCTTTGATTTTTCCAGCATATTGGTCCTGGCATAAGGATCAAGACATTCTTTACTCGGGACCTGATAAGGATATTATATCTTCAGCCTGTGCAACAACTCTGATCCTGTTTAATGTTTCTGTTTCAGACTATGGACAATATCGGTGTCAATTGGAGTTACCTAAGTTACCTTATACAGATTCTCTTTCCAACTACGGGTGGTAACTTATGGACACAAATATCTCGGGGTCTTATCCCACCTTTGGGAGTTGCTATGAACTATAGGGATATTCATATTTTAAATAATTTTACTGTAGCTATGTTTAATGATACTATCAGAAACTTTAAGATGATTAATGCAGAAATGTCTGAAATTCGTAAAGTTACTTTGCAAAATCGATATGCTTTAGATATTATGTTAGCTGCCAAAGGAGGAGTTTGTGCTTTAATTCATTCGCATTGCTGTGTTTTTATACATAATTATGAGCCAAACATTACAAAGACTGTTCAGGACATGGAAGCTCGTATTGCTCAGCATCAATCTGGAGCTGATGGGTTTAATGCATCATTCTGGGACAGTCTGTGGTCCTGGCTTCCTGATGGGTCATGGTTTCGCTCCTTATTGCAAGGGGTTGTTATTATTATTGCTATATGTATCTTATTATGTTGTTTTATTCAATGTATTCCTAATCTATTACAAATGTGTACCTCAGCATTCCGGCGTGCGGGACCAGGTCGTAAGGGAACTGTGTACTATGCCACTAAAACACCCCCCATCTTTGAATAAATAAAAAAGGAGGGAATGTGGTAACATATTTTATTGATCATTTTCTGTAAGTCCTTTGTACAACTATTAGCATAGATCTAGGGATATGCAGGCATTCTTGGTGGGGGTAGGAGTACCTTTGCAATGAGTGTCTCATCCTGTTATGATCTGCAGTTTTAGAAGGAACAGGAAAATAGGTAAAAGTTCAAGGTACACAGTTGTGCTTTCTCATGGGACTTTCCAGACTTTCCCATGGGACTTTCCGTATCTGTATGTTCTCATGCTGTTGAGGTAATATCCTGTTGAGGTCATTGTTTTCTGAATATGCATACTGTACTTTTGCTTGTTGTTTTTTTTTTCTCAATAAATACTGCTGCCTGAGTTCGCTCAGGGCTGGCATTTGCTCAGACATTTTCCCTGTGTCTCATTTCGAATGCCAGACCACCACACATGTCCTCATCACTTGAACTCATATCTGCCACAGGAGCAGAATCCAAACCCGGAGCCACAACATTAATTGTTATTTTTTGTCCCGGTCAGCCAAAAACTTTCACTTCTTAACTTCCTCCTGCTCTTTCTTTTCCAGCTGAGTGCTTCTTTGAGGCGGCCATTTCTGACCGCCGCTCTACCGCCTTCGGAAAAGGGAGTTTAGCCGGCTGGGGAGGAGAGGTGCGATTCCTCTCGACCCTGCCAAATCTCCCCTGTCTTCACCACCTTCTACGGGGTGGCTTAGCCCTGAAGCCGGGTGGCTCGGGGCACTCCAGCGGTGAGCGCAGGCAGAAACCACACACGATCTCTGATTCCTGCCTGCCCCAAAGCGCTGCAAACTGGAACTCCGACAGTGCTACTTTTTAAGAGAAGCAGAAACCTGAAAAAAACTCAAGCTATTCCAATGATGAACTGAAAAGTTCTGCACTCATGAGAGATTCAAAATAAATTTTCTGAATCCTTTTTACAAGAATTCTAGTTTTCCTCTTGCTCCATCAAGAATAGGCTATTGTGACTACAAAGCTGCTTTTTTTCTAGCCAGAGAGACAGAATTCTTCAATGGCCACCAGCCACTAAAGGGACTTCTCAGAATGATAAAAAAAACGATTTGACTCTGAATCAAAAGCATGAAGCAGTTTGCCTCCAAAATTCTATTTTATTTTAGCACAAATAGTGGGTTGTTACATTTAGTGGTTTACAAACATTATTTGAAAAGGGCATTCTAATATTTTTGCAAAAGCCTGTTTCCAGCCCATGTTTGCAAAAGCAATCAAAATATAGTGTGCATGAAGTATACAGGATTTGTGTTTGCATACGAACAGATAAACAGCAAGTGAGAACATGTGCCCAATTTTCCCTTTGCCTGCTAATTTTATTTTTTTTATTTATTTCTATCCTGCCATTATTTTTATAAATAATTCAAGGCGATAAACATACATAATATTATAATATTTTCCCCACAATAACTCCCCTGTAAAGTGTGTTGGGTTCAGAGAGAGTGAGGAGCCAAAGTCAGCAGCCAGCCTGCTTTTATGCCTAAAGTGGGACTAAAACTCAGTCTCTTGGTTTCTAAATTGTTACTTTAAACACTAGACTAAGCTGCTATTCCCCTTAACCATTTTCTCAAAGCTGGAGTATTTTGGGTTGGGGAAAATTCAAAACAGAATAATTATTACGTACCTATTTCATGTCTGAGCATCCCTTCTAACCAATGTTCCCTTGCAGTGGAAATATTGATGGTAAGAGTTGGACGGCCATTCACCACAGTCATTGAGGCCCGAGAAAGCAAATCTTCAGAAAGGTGAACCACAATCTGAGGAAGAAAAACAACCCTTAGAAAATAAAATGATATCACTATTCATATTTTGTACTCCTTTTCTATAAAATTTATTTTATTATATTCACTACCATGTTTCTCCAGAAAGTAGGCCGGGTCTTATTTTCTTTTGACTCCTGAAAAAATGGCTAGGCCTTTTTTTTGGAGGGTTCTAATTATTGACTCAACTCGCAACGGTGGCACCAGCAGCCTCACCTAGCAGGAGCCTGCTGCTGGCCCACTTCTTCTGTCGCTGCTTGCTGCCACTCACACGCATCACCCAGGCCTTCATTTTGCCTTCAGATGCCTTCCAGAAAGCCCTCTGCAGCCAATAATACAGCTCTGCAAATGCCTTCCGGAAAGCCCTCTGCAACTGATAATAGAGCCTGGATCGACCTGGAGCTGTTATCGGCTGCAGAGGGCTTTCCGGAAGGCATCTGAAGGCAAAACGGAGGCGAGGGTGATGCGTGTGAGTGGCGGCAAGCAGCCACAAAAGTGGGCCAGCAGTGGGCTCCTGCTGGGCGGGGCTGCTGGTGCCACTGCCGCTAGGTGAATCAATAATCTGAAGACAAAACGGAGGCCAGGGCAATGCGTGCGAGTGGCGGCAACCAGCCGCAGAAGATGATGAGGTAGGTGTCAAGATGTGCAAGTCCTGGTAAATAGGGCAGCTCCACCCCCACAAGCTTATTTTTTACCTGTGTGCTTCACCCCACCCCCTGCACCCCGGAGTGAGCAGGGTCTTAACTATGGCTAATTGTGTGGGTGGGGCTTAATTTGATTGCATGCGCTCAAAAACGATAGGGCTTCTTTTCAAGGTGGGTCATCTTTTTGGAGAAACACGGTATCAGTGGTGGGTAATAGTTCAAATGTCTTTTTGTTTTGTAGGGTTATATTGCTTGCTTGCCCAGATGGCGCAGTGGTTAAAATGCAGTGTTGTAGGCTCTGCCCAAAACCTGAAGTTTGATCTTCATGGGGCTCAAGGCTGATTCAGCCTCCCTTCCTTCTGAGATTGGTAAAATGAAGACCAAAAATATTGGGGGCAATATGCAAATAATGCTTCTATATTATAAACTGCCCAGCGAGTGCTGTAAAGCACTATTGGGCAGTATATCAATCTAAGTGCTATTGCTATACTTCTTTCTAAACTCAAGGCAACATACACCGCACCTTGTCCTCCATTTCTTTTACCTATTTCTGTATCTAATCTGAAACATGACTTAAACAACAGTGGATGCATTCATACAGGAATGTATACCTTATTCTAAAAAAATAATTGTTAGTTCCTGCATCATACGGTTATCACTCTTTAGAGACAGCCTGTTACCATTAATTATGTATGCATGTCGCTTGTAGAAATGATGGTTGACATAAAACTACAGTTAGGAAGTGGATAAACTATGACTCTCTATTTCAAAGAAATACTGCAAAACCCAACCTCGCCTAGGCAGCCTTCTTTCGCCATATACTTTCGGACATGATTCCAAATGCGACTCCTAGGCAGCAGGCTTCCTCCGGTGGATTGTTCAAAATTTTCATAACTTCCATATTTTTGCAAAGTGAGTTCCATAATTCTGATAGCCTGTGAAAAAAATGTAGCAGACATAAATGTTAAATATGCTAAATGTTCTAATCGGTGACTATGTTTGCTTTTGGCCTTAGAATTATGTGTATCACAAGAGCAGGTTGTCTAGGTAGATATTTCTTCTCTGATGAATATGAACAGGACAGATGCTTTTAAGTTCCACATCAAGATTAAATATATGACTTTTTTCTCATATTTCCAATTCAGGGCTGGTGTTGGAGGAAAAGTCATACTCAGTCCAGTTTAAGGAGCCAAAAAGCAGTTTCATGCTAATAATTGGCTTATTGGCCCATAATATTACCCTGTCTTTGCAATGTCCTTTTCTAGACATTTGTGGTGGTGACCAGGAACACTATTCCTTGGGTAGTTACAATAGTGAGGTAAAAAGCAAGGCACCTGATTATCTTCAAAATCTCTTTTCAAAAATTTCTCTGCTGATCTGACAGCAACATGTCTGAATGAAAATTAACATTGTTCAGAAACCATTCCAATAATTTCAACAATCTTCTCCATTTTCCTTGCACTATGTATATGTAGTAAGTCAAATCTATCTATTTATATGTATGCCTGCATATATGATTGTTCCATTTATTTCAAAATAAGTGGACAACTCTATTGTAAAGAGTCATGAAGAATAGCCCTCTTTCTAAAGGGAATGCAGCTGCCTTTGTGGCATGACACATGATGTACTAATTATATTAGAATTAGGGATGACGATAGCAGTATTCCAATATTTGAGGGGCTGCCACAAAGAAAAGGGGATCAAATTATTCTCCTAAACACCAGAGGGCAGGACAAGAAACAATGGTTGGAAACTAATGAAAGAGAATTAAGGAGAAACTTAACCTAGAATTAAGGAGAAACTTCCAAACAGTGAGGACAATTAACCAGTGGAACAGCTTTCCTTCAGAAATAGTGGGCACTTCAACACTAGAGGTTTTTAAGAAGAGATTGGATGGCCACCCTCGTATAGGTTCTTCTGCCAGAGCAGGGAGCTGGACTAGAAGGCTTCCAAGATCCCTTCTAGCTCTATTCTATTCTAATATCCCATGACTGTGAGTAGTTCCTTTCATGTCTACAAATGTTGATACGTAAACCCATGAAATGTTTGAGGAAAATATGTTTTCTCCTGTACCTGAGTGAGAAATCCTCTCTTCTCCAACAGAAGCCTAAGCAAAAGGTATGGATATCTGCAAGATTACATGAAACATCCCGTCATAAATTATGTAATCATCCATTTGTTTGATGATCCATGTGTTATTGCTTTGATGTCACTGCTTGTTTCAGAGGCTATTGTCAATAGAGGCCCTGCTTCAGACTTTCTCTTCTTAAAATGGAAAGGAAAGCCGCACAAGTGCTGTGTCCTTGCATCCTCCTTTTTCAAAAGCTCTTTCCTAATCAGACTATCCCCTTTCTAAGCTAATAGATCTAAGGAAAAAATAAGAGGGGAAAGAAGAAAAACTGAATCAAAAAGAATTATGCATGAGAAATAGATATAGCAAAGGTATCTTTACCTGTTTAAGAAATAAGCTGGATGCTTGGCTGTACTTTTCAAGTACACTGGGAAGGACAGAACTTGCATATTCAAACTGTGGGTTAGAGGTAAAATCTGATTTGAAGAACTTTATCTTCTCCCTTTCCACATTGGAAGGCTTGATTGCAGTGAGGATGCAAAGCTTTCGACCAGCGGCATCTCCATCTTTTAAGCAGCTTTTAGATGTTTGCAACTGTTTGGCCTTTCCTAGGCTAAAGGTAAAATGTTTTTTGGATTTATTCTTGGGTGGAGTTGACAATCCTATGCTGTTCCCTGTTACTGAAATACTTTGTGCTAATTTAATCCCATTGCGGAATGAGTTGGGGATAAAATAGGAGGAATGTCTTTTGAAACAGCACCACCCATTTGGGGGAATGAACAGCGGTGTCTTAACCTTGTGTCGTTCATTACCGTGTGAGCCATGAGTGGGTTTGGTGGGCTTCCGGAGTCTTTTGTGATGGACTGATGAATATTTCTGTTGTTTTTTTTCCTCTTTGCTCTGCAGCAAAACATTGTAGCTGCTTGTGCCTGTGGTGAAGTTGTCCTTAAGAATGCAGGATTTAACACTTCTGGTTTCATTCATGCAAAGAAATTTCTGTTCTTCAGGCTTCAAAATGGACTTCTTGGACAGTTCTTGCTCTGGCCAGTGAAGCTTTTCTGAATTAAAATAAAAATAAAAACCTAATTCAATCAAAAAGGTTTTTCTATATTTTAATTTGTAAAGTGAATGTAAGCATAGAAATATATCAGATAAGTTTTAATAGTAAACTATAAACATCTCTAAGAAATTTGGACTTCCACACACAATTATCAACATTAGGGAAGCAAAAAAAGGACATAGGCTGACTTTGCTCTTTCTAAAATTCCCCTATCTTTTAAAAATATAGATACAGAAACATTTTGGATTTTCCTCTATGTTAACATGGTGAATTTGTCATAAACTTTTCTGTTTAAGTGCATGAACTGTAAAACCCGAAAACTGCCTTGTCTGCTACACTAAACAATTATGTAAAAAACTCTTTTCCTCCATCATTTAAAAACTAAAATGGAAAATAGATACCTGGGGGGGAGGCAGAACAGCAAAATCAAATGTGTGCTATGTCTTGATGTCACATGAACATATGCCAGTTACATATTGTAATGGCATGATGCTCATTTTATCATTTTTACAAAACTGTCAGATTCTGCAGATTAAGGTGTGAAAAGATGTGAAATCTCAATACCCCATTCAGATGTATAATAAAATATTACAGTACAATCCATCTCTTGTGTATTATACTCGGCTTAGTATTACAGTCAGTGTTGGATGTATATTTTGTGTATATTCGTAGATATTGTACTCTCAAATTGCAAATGGAGACGTTTGATTTTTCTTATCTTTATTTTTAAGTGGTTTGGTTTTATTGTATTGCGAACAGGTGCTGGGTGCATCCACAGTTTCACTGTACTTGTACAATGACAATAAAGTTCTTCTAATTCTAATTCTTCAAGCACAGGATTTCTCAATCTCAACCATTTTAAGATTCTAGACATTCCAGTCCATGCATCTTAAAAGTACTGTATTTTTCGCACTATAAGACACTCTGGACTATAAGACGTACATTAGCTTTAGAGGAGGAAAACAAGAAAAAAAAAATCTGCCTCTGCCTCCCAGCATCCATCAGATATTCATCCGTCTAGTGTCCTTGCAGCAAACAGCAAACAATCTGGTCAGCTTCAGCACATTATCGCAGCCCCAGATGTGGCTCGTCAGGGCTCCGCTCCATTGTGCCTACCATCAGTCAACTGAGCTGAACTGCTGCCACCTCCGGGGAACACTGAAGCCTTCACTGCTGAGCAGCTAATTGGTGGTTGGTTCTGCCTCCTGGAATACCGCCAATCAGCTGTTCTAGGCAGTGGGGTTGCCGCTGCCTATTGCCACCCATTCACCACCCCCCATTCACTGCCACTGTTTGCAGCTGATCACTATGGCGGCGAACGGGTAACATGAATGAGTAGTGATAGGCAACAATGGTGATCCCCGTCTAGAACAGCTGATTGGTGGTATTCCGGGAGGCAGATCCAACTGCCAATCAGCTGCTTGGCAGCAAAGGCTCCAATGTTCCCTGGTGGCGGTGCTACACCAAACCGCCTTCCACCCACCACAATATTTGCTCTGCAAGAAGCATAGACAATTCCATCCACTTTTGGTGGTGAGGGGAAGTGCGTCTTATAGTGCAAAAAATATGGTAGTTGAGCTTGAGAAACACTGCTCTACCAGAAAAAGTGCTATTGACCAGATAAAGCTTTCCCAGACTGGATGCCCCCCATATACCTCCCATTCTCTTTCAAAATTCCTCAACTGGAATAGCCATTAAGTCTCCTTTAAATGTATATCAATTTCTTTTCCCATGTTTGAATGGAAAAGAAAACATGCTTACAACTTATAGAGCAGACTTTCAATTCTAAAAATTCTAAAAGTCAATTTTTCTGCACTGCACTGTAAGTTCAAACTCTGCCTACAATAGGGAGATGGAAAGAAGAGGGAGAATATAACAGAAAAATTACTTGGGGAGTAAAATCACTATTTTATTCAGCCTTAGCATGTTATAGGCTTAATACTTTTACCACAGGAAAGGCAAAAAAGGAGTAGGAGTGGGAATACAAATTGAAACATATATGAGTAAGTTCTACCTCCTTTTGTTATTTGAAAGAAAATAAATTGAACTGACACTTCCTGTTATATTTCCTTCTCAAGAACAAGCATGTTACAATGTAATCACAGCAACTATTGCATTGACAACATGTTTGGATCATACCTTGTAATAACATTAACTCTAGTTCCTATCTATAAATCTATCTAGCACAAAGTGCCTGTTGTAGTTGATTGTTATCCTATTCAGGGCAAACATTGCAGTTATAGGTAATACTAATAATTGCTGAGACAAATATAATACAGGTAGTCCTTGATTGGCAATCATTCATTTAGTGCCATTTGAAATTACAGCAGAAGTGAAAAAAAGTGACTTATGGCTGTTTTCCATACTTAAGATGGAATTCCCAGAATAATTTTGAACATTTTGGAAATGTTCTTTTGGAAGCACACCCAGAAAAAGAGATGGCATTGATCTTCTTAGACACACAAAAGGCGTTTGGCAATGTGAACTGGCAATTTATGCTAGCACAACTGAAATAAATGGACTTTGAGGAAAGGTTTATTAAGATGATTAAGGTGATATACTACAAGCAAACTGCAAAAGTGATGGTAAATGGGGAGATGACTGAAAAGGTTAATATTAAAAAAGGAACAAGACAGGGATGTCCCTTGTCACCACTGTTATTTGTATTGACATTAAAAGTATTAAATAGAAATATTAGACAAGGTAGGGAGATAAAAGGTATGGAAATAAAGAAAGAAAAAAATATAAACTACAGGCATTTGCAGATTATTTGGTTTTTATACTAGAGGAACGATTAGAGATAGGACCAAAATTAATTGGAAAAAAAGAGGAAGAGAAATTAATTGGAAAAAAAGAGGCAGGATTGAAAATAAATAAGGGGAAGATTTTAATGAAAAATGCTGCAGAAAAACAGAAGAAAGAGCTAATGGAAAGATTAGACATTCAGATTACTAAGAAAATAAAATACTTAAGAATTCAATTAATAGCAAGGCGTGTAACAATTAAGGAAGATAACTATTATAAGTTGAAACTGCAAATTAAGTTAGATCTGGGAAAGTGGAAGAAACTACAACTGTCGCTAACAGGGAGAATAGCAACAATTAAAATGAATATACTGCCTAGACCAGACGTCGTCAAACTCATTAGTCAACAGCACTAAATATCAATAGTACAACGATAGAAATTTCTTTTGAGAGCCAATTTTTTAAAGCTTAAACTATATAGGTAGGTACATTGTTATTAACTTAATTAGGATACTCCTAAGCTGGCCTTTGCTAAAAACGTCCTCAATCTGAGTGAGGTACGTTCGTTGAGGTCGACCCCTTCCAACTGTTCCATCCACGCTCGTCTTGTGTATTTGTTTTGTCTATATCTCCTTTCGTTCATCCTCTCTATATGTCCAAACCATCTCAACATAACTTTCTCAATCCTCGGCACTACATCTTTTTTCACTCCACAACGTTCCCTAAAATTAACTTAATAAACTTTAAAGTTTTAAGTTTTAGTTAAACTATAGGTACGTTGAATAAAACTTGATATTATACTTAATGATAGTATTTAATGATAACATTAAATTCCTTACAATTTACCTTACAATATCCATAAAATTAAATCATGACAATGACTGACAAATACTAATGTGAACAATGGCCTTGCATCTTCTTGGAAAATTTGGGTAAGTCAGTTTTGTATGTTGTTATTTTTAATTTTAGGCATGATTCCAGGTTCTCATCAGGTTCATGCTTGAAAATGATTATTCGCATAAATATGTAGACCCGAATAAGGAAAGAACAGCAATGCTAGTTTTTTCAGTTGATTATGAGTCAGGAATACTATTCCAGGTGTTAAAAATCAACAAATCTTCCTTCTCCAGGTCTTTCAAAGCAGACAATTTGTGCCGTGAACTAAGTTCACATTTGTTTTTCTCCAATATTTCTGTATCAGCACAAAGACGTTCAAATTTCGAGCTTCACAATTCTTTGTTTTTTAAATCCAGCAATTGCATTTCAAAGTTGCCAATGTCAATATTAAAGGGAGAAAAATTAAAATCTGTTACAGTAGCATTAAGAGGTTTTATAACAAAGGCTAACATCGCTTTGCTGTTTCTGAATTCCTGAAACCTGTTGAGAAAAACTTCCCTCATATTTAAAAGTGTTGTTTTGAAATAGCAAATGTCAGTATCAGAATTATTTTCTTGGCGATGTTTCAACAGGCTTGGAAAGTGAATCAAAGTTTCTCTTTCAAAATTTTGAGCAAAAAGAGATAATTTGTTTTCAAATGAAATAACTTCTAACATCGAAAAAATTGTTTCCTTTCTCCTGTAGTTTAGGATTAAGCTGATTTAGATGAGATGTAACGTCTACCGTGAAATAAAAATTTTGGATCCACGGATCGTTCGTTAGTTCTGGATAGTGAACACCCTTCTCAAGGAGAAATGCTTTAATTTCTGTTAATAAGAAAATGAAAAGTTTCAAAATATTTCCTCTTGATAACCAACATACCTTGTTATACAGCAGAAGATCTGAATACTCTCCATTTCAACTAAAAATTCTTTAAATTAGCAATGATTAAGAGCTTTAACTATAATGGAGTTGATAATCTTAATCACCAATTCCATAACTTTGCAAATTTCTTTTGGAAATGTCTGCGCACAAAGCACTTCTTGATGAATGATGCAATGATAAGTAAGTATCTCGTGATTAATTTTTTCTTTCAAAATAGCAACAAACCTGTTTCTTACGCCGGTCATACTTTTCACCCCGTCTGTTGAAATTGAGACATTTTTATCAAGTGGAATATGATGTTTTTCAATGCACTCAATTACAGCATTTGCTATATCCTCTCCACGTGTTTGACCTTTGAGTGGCAATAATCCTAAAAGTTCTTCTTTAGGACCTGTAGATGAAATAAATCGTACAAAAAGTGAAACATGCGCTGTATCATTTATGTCACAAGACTCGTCAACTGCTATTGATAAAGCTGAAACCAATTTAAGAT